AGAACTCTTTCCTTTCAATTTACTACTTCATAAAAAACCACAGGAAATTCACCAAGCCAGCAAGGGCCTTTTTCTGGACAAACAGGGATTCTATACCAACAATTAGGAACTCCGGCAAATCAATTAAGTCAGATCAGCCCTACTGGACAAGGAAACGTTCCATCGGGTGCGTCCGGAATCCCAGCAGGACAGGGAGGATATCCTACACAGCAATCAGGACAAACTAGCGTCCCTTCAGGGCAAATAGGACAAACTGGAACCACTGCAGGACAAGTAGGTTATCCTACCGGAACCCAAACCGGTTTTCTTCCAGCTGTATCTGCCGGCTATCCCGGAAGTCAGACGGGGTATCCTACAGGAAGTTTACCAGGTTATTCCACACAACAAGCAGTTGTTCCAACAGGAGGACAAATTTCCTACCCCCAGGGTGGTCTATCTGGTTTTTCTACAGGCGGACAATCAGGCTATCCTTCAAGAGAACAATCAAGCCTCCCTCCAGGAGGACAAACAGGCTATCCTACAGGAGGACAAATAAACTACCCTACAGGTGCACAAACAGGTTACCCTACAGGAGAAACCATTGGACAAGTAAGCTACCCTACAGGAGCTACAGGACAAGTAAGTTACCCTACAGGAGCTACAGGGCAAGTAGGTTATCCTACAGGAGGGACAAATGGGCAAATAGGCTATCCAGGTCAAATAATTGGTTCATCGGGACAGATCGGATATCCTTCAGCAGGACAGACAGGTCAGATAACTGGAACAGGACAAGGTTGGCAAGGGAGTAGTTACCCTCAAGGAACAGCAGGGCTACCTTCACATGCAGGACAGCAACTTACAGGTGGTACAGGAGTAAGTCAATTTGGGCAAGTACCTTCAGAATTAACTGCACCACAAGATAAAGACGAAAAGGACGCTGATTCACAAGCTCAGGCTGAGGTTCAACACGCAAATGAAACAACAGAAGCAAAAGCTCAAGCACAAGGATTTTACGCTGGCGGTACAGCACAGTCACAAGTTTCAGGAAGTTATAGTGGATCAGGATCTTTTAATGCTTTAGCAGGAACAATCGACGGAAAAAGAGGTGCGCAAACACAAGTGGCTGGAGGAAAAGAAGGCGCAACAAGTAATGCTCAGGGAACGGGTGGAGCTGGCTTATCACAAGCTCAGGTACAACTTGCTTCAGAAACGGGAGATACAACTTCAAATGCTCAAAGCAGCGGCTTGTACCATGGTACCAACACACAAGTACAAGCAGGTTCAAAAGGCGGTCTCGCTGATGCACAAGCTACAGGCCCAGGAAGTACTTCCTCTCAAGCTCAAATAGGATTCACCCCCCATAACGAAGAACACGATAACGATACTCAGAATACCCCGTTTAAGGGAGGGGGAACAGCGAGTGCGCAAAGTGGAAGTTACGCTGGTCAAACCCAAAGTCAACTTCAGGGGAAATTTCGATTTGGGGTAAGATATACGGGAGCTGCTCAAGCAGGATCGGGAAGTAAAGATACTGTTAATTCTGCTAGGAATCAAACCAGACCGCCAGGTCTGTCTGGTCTATTTTCCCCGTTTAAACCTATTACTTACTCGTCAGGAAATTCTCCCAACGATGGTAAATCACAACAGCAGGAAGGAAATACATCAAAAAATAAATTTACAGCGAGTACGGCAAACGAAGAAAAAGTAATGCAGAGAAGAATCTCTAAAGTCCATAAACAGTACGAGTCATCACCAACTACCAGTACAACATCAGCAACAATCAGTGAAACAATCGCAACTACTCTTAATCCATTGCTCGTTTATAATACTGTTAAAGCTGATGACTACAATGACGAAGATTATGAAGATTACGATGGCGAAGTGCAAGATACTTCACATTCTGGGGCAGTTATAAGTCAAAACGGTAGAACACAAAGGCAAAACATTATTTTAGATCCGCTCGAAGATTTAGATGCCAACGTTATCCAAAGTAAAGGTGATCCTGATTTAGCGGATGGAACTGTTCTGCAACCTGGTCAAGACATACCAGGAAGCTACGGATATAGAATACCTACAGGATTTAGAGGAAGGGTCACATCTGTAGCAAATAATTCAAATGCTTTTGCTTTGGGACACAATTCTCAAGCCCAGAGTGTATCTTTAAAACCGGGAACGGGAAAAATAGTTTACAGACCACCAACATACGCAATTGGTTTTAACACCCAACTTAGAAATGGAGGAAGATTGGGAATTGGAAGCGGTTATACATATCAGCCAGTTAGTTATCAATTAAAAAGCGCAGATAGCCCTTCAAAATTTGTTTCAGTGANTTTTCTTTGCCTAAAACTGCAGCTCCACATACTTTACAATGAAATTTTCTTATTGTTAAACTATAACGTATGTCGTGAAAAATTGTACAGTGAGTTCTATAATATAATGGGTGAGTAAACACCATATTGCAACCTCCACAATCTGGAAACAAGAAATTTAAAGAATAATTTCAAGTAAATATAATTACAAAATTTTCTAATATAGTAAATATATTATTTTGAAATATGTCCCAGCATTTGCCTAAATGATCCAAAGAATTACAGAAAACTTGGATTAAGACAAATGGACCCAGGCTCAGTGCTAAGCTACGATCTAGAACTTTTATCAATATTTAAAACAAGCTTACTAGTTTTTCCCATTTTCTTCTTATTCAAATTCAAGTTGTCATCCTGCCAATACAAAACTTCTTCTCCCTGTCCAATAGTTTTTATAGAAATCAAAAACAATGAATTGTTTCTACATACAGCAGTTGTGTTTCTCTGTTCCCTTGTAGGAGCCGGTCTCAAGTATCGAAACCAATTACATTCATTTAAATAATCAGTTCTCCAATATGTATATGAGTCTTTACCAAATATCATCCATAACTCTCTCATTGGAAAGTCTTCTGGTATGTCAACTTCTTTTACTGATTTAGCAATTAAAGGTCCAAACTGGGTAAATGAATTTATTACAGATTTTGCAAAAACACTAATGCCATGTGATGTATTGGAATCCAGCAAGCAAAAGATTTTAGGTAATGACATGTTTGAATAACTTGAGTCTGTAAATTCTTCTGAAAGCGATTTATTAGCAATATTATAGTTTTCATCATCTTCCTGCTGCTGTGAGTATTTAAAAGTCCATTCTTCTTTAGAGATTCTGTCACAGATTGAAGACACTGGGTCTTCTAAGGGACAACGGTATTTTGAATGGCTTGTATCACAATTTGAACACATTTTGGACTTCTTTGTTTTTTTATTATTATCTTCATTTTTACTTTCAATAATAGAAGTTGCTGAATCAAGCAATGAATCTTTTTTGGTAGATATTTCTTCTATCTGTTCTTGCAATTCTGGAGCCTTACGAACGTCATAAGTCCGAATATTCTTTTTCTTCTTATTGGACCTTTTCCTTTCATGGTTTTTAGGTACATTTTCTACATTTGTTCCAATAAGGGTGCTATTTGCTGGTTTTCTTTTTCTTTTAGTATCATCATTAATATCACTCTTGTCACAGTCTATCTCAAAATTGTTTATTTTATTTTCTGAATCAATTATATTAGTGTGTAAATCAATTAAGTCATCAGATTTAGTAACATTAGTATCACTTATAGTTTGCTCAGTAAAGTCACAAAGTAAATTATTAAATTCGCAAAGGGTTGAATTTTCACAGACAGTTTCATACAGATTTTCTTTTTGAGGTTCCTTTGGCTTATTTTCTTTATTTTTATTTATCTCAATCACTGCCTTCTTAGAATTCTTTCTCTTAGTTTCCACCATTCTGTATTCTACTGATGGCTTTACACTATTTTCAGTCAATGTTGTTTTATTGAATTTTCTATTTACAATTAGTTTTTCATCGTTACTAAAAATATAAAACGTATGTACAGTAAAAAATTCTTATTAAATTATCATGAAATAAATTAAAAAATTAACCTCAAAAAACGTAAACAAACTAATAAGCACATGGCTTTGTTTTTATTGATCTGATAGGATTAATTAATGTTCAATTACATATGTTACAACATACACAAGTCATTTCACAATAATAACTAAATCGCGAAATGCGCTTTAGAAAGATCATGAAGTATGTTGTTTTGCAATAGCAAATATTCTACCGAATTTTATATATGCAATACTGAAAAACTTTCAAGTTTTCAGGAGGAACAGAAGGAAAAGTACATACGTCTATACAAGGTGGCACTGTTCACATGACTAAAAGCACAGCGAGTTTAGAGTAAAATCAGTGCAAGTAGCGAGCATTTGACCCGGTAAATGTATAATGCAGGTATGTAGCCATTTTGAATCTTTAATAATTATTTTAAAATATTTTCCTTAATAATTACATTATTCAAACAAACGTATACCTTCATACATTTGAAAAGAAAATATGCATTTACAAAAACTAAGTTTCTTTTCAGCTTATATAAAACGTTAATTCACTTTTAAGGAAGAGATTGCATTATAACAAAAATGAAATTTCACGTTTTTAATAATGGCACATTACAGTATGTTTAAGATAATTAGCATCGCTAGATGGCAGTGGATATTATGCAAATTAACAAAATAATTATACATTTATTTTAAGAGTACGATAAAAAAGGCATTGATCAAAGTCCATTTTATTTCACCTTTCCATTGTCTTGCTACTAAGACATTTTATTTATATTAAGAAAAGGAATTAAAAGTTCGTTTTTGTTCATCTATCTTGTAACCTAATAATAAGAAGAATAATGATGATAAGGCGATGGGGTGGGTGAAGTAACGTGCGGCCTGGCGGTCAAAACAGGGGGATGATAGGGCGTAGGAGATACAGAATAGTTTGGGTAAGGAATGGGAGACAAAGATCCGTTAGGGACTGTAGGTAGGATACGGACATCGGAAAGTAACCGTCCCGGCTCAATTAGTCTACTTTGATCGTTTAAATAACGCGTATCGTCGGCTATCATTCTGGCCTGTTCGACAGTCCCAAAGTGCGACGAATCGCTTTGATCATTGGATAATAATCGATTNCCTAAATGGTTTAATGCCGCTGTGCGTTAACATATGAATTTTTAAATTTGACTTATTTTGAAAAAGTTTTCCGCATCGATAACAAGCGCATGAGCCTTCAATTTGCTTGTTATGTACTTCTTTTAAATGTCTCTGAAGGGCTGCACGAGACCCCAAAACTTTCAAACAACTCTTACATTGGAATTCTTTCAAAACTTCAGAAATGTCTGAAAATAAAAAAGTAACAGTTATCATGCAATTGTATGATATTATAGACATATAAAGCATTTATTGGTCTATTATAAAAAGTAACAGTAGAAATAACAAAGCAATTTCTTACCATTATGCATTCTTTTAATGTGTATTTTTAGCTTCTGTGGTTGACAAAACTTTTTCCCACAAAAGTCGCACAAAGGCCACGTCCTGTGAGGATTAGCTGAGCACCCATATGTTCTGTGCATGTCCAGATAATTCAATCTCAAGAAAAACTGCAAAACAGAATACATTTCAACTAAAAAATACTGTTTTATTGTTGTTTCAAACCACCTTTTTACAAAACTGGCACTGATAGGCTCCTTGACCATTATGAAGCTCAGCCGCATGCTTCATTATATTTTCTTTGCCTAAAACTGCAGCTCCACATACTTTACAATGAAATTTTCTTATTGTTAAACTATAACGTATGTCGTGAAAAATTGTACAGTGAGTTCTATAATATAATGGGTGAGTAAACACCATATTGCAACCTCCACAATCTGGAAACAAGAAATTTAAAGAATAATTTCAAGTAAATATAATTACAAAATTTTCTAATATAGTAAATATATTATTTTGAAATATGTCCCAGCATTTGCCTAAATGATCCAAAGAATTACAGAAAACTTGGATTAAGACAAATGGACCCAGGCTCAGTGCTAAGCTACGATCTAGAACTTTTATCAATATTTAAAACAAGCTTACTAGTTTTTCCCATTTTCTTCTTATTCAAATTCAAGTTGTCATCCTGCCAATACAAAACTTCTTCTCCCTGTCCAATAGTTTTTATAGAAATCAAAAACAATGAATTGTTTCTACATACAGCAGTTGTGTTTCTCTGTTCCCTTGTAGGAGCCGGTCTCAAGTATCGAAACCAATTACATTCATTTAAATAATCAGTTCTCCAATATGTATATGAGTCTTTACCAAATATCATCCATAACTCTCTCATTGGAAAGTCTTCTGGTATGTCAACTTCTTTTACTGATTTAGCAATTAAAGGTCCAAACTGGGTAAATGAATTTATTACAGATTTTGCAAAAACACTAATGCCATGTGATGTATTGGAATCCAGCAAGCAAAAGATTTTAGGTAATGACATGTTTGAATAACTTGAGTCTGTAAATTCTTCTGAAAGCGATTTATTAGCAATATTATAGTTTTCATCATCTTCCTGCTGCTGTGAGTATTTAAAAGTCCATTCTTCTTTAGAGATTCTGTCACAGATTGAAGACACTGGGTCTTCTAAGGGACAACGGTATTTTGAATGGCTTGTATCACAATTTGAACACATTTTGGACTTCTTTGTTTTTTTATTATTATCTTCATTTTTACTTTCAATAATAGAAGTTGCTGAATCAAGCAATGAATCTTTTTTGGTAGATATTTCTTCTATCTGTTCTTGCAATTCTGGAGCCTTACGAACGTCATAAGTCCGAATATTCTTTTTCTTCTTATTGGACCTTTTCCTTTCATGGTTTTTAGGTACATTTTCTACATTTGTTCCAATAAGGGTGCTATTTGCTGGTTTTCTTTTTCTTTTAGTATCATCATTAATATCACTCTTGTCACAGTCTATCTCAAAATTGTTTATTTTATTTTCTGAATCAATTATATTAGTGTGTAAATCAATTAAGTCATCAGATTTAGTAACATTAGTATCACTTATAGTTTGCTCAGTAAAGTCACAAAGTAAATTATTAAATTCGCAAAGGGTTGAATTTTCACAGACAGTTTCATACAGATTTTCTTTTTGAGGTTCCTTTGGCTTATTTTCTTTATTTTTATTTATCTCAATCACTGCCTTCTTAGAATTCTTTCTCTTAGTTTCCACCATTCTGTATTCTACTGATGGCTTTACACTATTTTCAGTCAATGTTGTTTTATTGAATTTTCTATTTACAATTAGTTTTTCATCGTTACTAAAAATATAAAACGTATGTACAGTAAAAAATTCTTATTAAATTATCATGAAATAAATTAAAAAATTAACCTCAAAAAACGTAAACAAACTAATAAGCACATGGCTTTGTTTTTATTGATCTGTCAAATATGCTCCGCCTGCAAATCGAACAGTCAATCGCCAACCAAAAAATTATCACATTGAATAAATAAGGATATCAAACAGAAAAATATTAATTCAAAGTTTACCTGTGATGATATTTCTGTGCCAAATCAAGTAATTTAGTGACGAATTCTTCATTTGAAATACATAAAAAGGCTTTTTTTAATTTATTCCATCTCTTGACATTTGAAGCACCAACAATAATTTCAAGAAGGTTGTTATTATTTTTGCGGCTAAAATTCACTTTTGCACCGAATATTTTATTGTCCCCGCACTGCTTGTTATCCTTTTTAAACTCCTTAAACATTTCTTTTCTAATTTCGTTGCTTTATTCATGAAATAATTCATTTTTTGTACCCATTTACACTAGACTATCTTCTATCTACTTTATGTTCAAGGACAAGCTTTAGTGTTTATTAAGCGGGAAATTCAATTAAGTACATCAAATTGAAAATTAAATGTTTTTGAGAAGTAATCTAAAAAATAAGATTATTTATCGGCAATCTCCATTGTATTCGTAAAAAACACTAACTTATAAGAAAATGAGACCTAAAAAGATAATTTCGCTGATCAGGAAACATAATTATTGAAAATTAAACTAAAGGAGCAAAATTATTTTTGATTTGACTTTTATTAGAAACAAAAAATTATTTCTAAATCTGTAAAGGAAAAGTATATCTATATTTGAATAGTTATTATTATATATACCAATATAACTAAAAATTAAAATGTGATTATACTTTACAGCATTGGTATTCAATCGATTAAATTAAAAGTAGAAAAACAAATGTTGGAGAGAAATGAAATAGAGAACAATGTTTTTAATGAACAATAACACTTATTGTATTAATTTTATGCATAATATAATATCAATTTATGGAATTATTAACATATTTTATAAACAACAGATACAAAAAAAGTAAAACAACTCTTACATTATTCAAACAAACGTATACCTTCATACATTTGAAAAGAAAATATGCATTTACAAAAACTAAGTTTCTTTTCAGCTTATNATATTTATTAATACAAACTCATTTTTTCAACACAATAAAACAAACTCGAGGAGCGCACATTTTCGTTTCCTTTTCTTGCTTTAATTTTTTCAAGTTCAGGATAGAGTCTATCCAATTCTTTCAAACTGTTCAAATGCTGTTCTACAATTTCACTTAATGACTTCAATAAATTTAAAACACTATCGTTTTGCGAAAGTAAAATAGTTTGGTATTTTGCATCTAATAACAAACTGGTCCATTCAATTAATTTTTTTTCCGTTTCAACAAAGTCCATTTTAGGCAGACAATAGACCTCGTGAGAAAACATGCGTTGTATGTACATCAGTAGATTTAAAACGGCGTCTATATCTAAGTTGCGTCTTAAATGTGGAAGTAATAAAATGTCGCTGAACCTCAATACCAATATCTTCTCAAGAAACAAATGTCTGCCAACAGGCTGTAAACTTTCAGGTAGATTTTCACTATGTTTATTGTTATTGAAAACTTTTGCGTCTACAGTAAGTCCAAATTCTATTAATTTAGCAATAGATTCTTCAGGTACATCCACAAAATAATCCACTGCATCTAAAATAACATCAATATTTTTCTCTTCAATTAACTGAGACAACAATTCTGAACAAACTGCAGCTTCTGGTCTCCCTTTTTCTAACAAATGATCTATTTTAGGTGCTATATTTTCGGGAACTTTTTTATTAAAAACGCCATTCAAAATAACATCTTTTCTGTCATCATTTTTAAAAGTGTCCCAATCCAGTAATTGTACTTTATCAACAATTGTTACATCTGATTCTAAATAATTCGAATTTTCCACAAATGCTTCCTTGTGACTTCCTATCAACGTTGCCAATTCCTCATCATGTAAATGGTATGGAATGACAGCTAAATTATGTCCCATTCCTAAAAGCAAGTTAGTTCCCACTCGCCAAAGTTTTGAACCAGATGTAAATAATTTAAAAGACACCTTTGATTGTATAACTTTAAATTGTGTGTTATATAAAAGTAAAACTGCTCCCTCTTCATTCCAATCCGCCCCGTATAATGCGATATACTGTTGATTAAGGGGAACCATAGATACGGGACTTTTCAAAGACAGAGACTGTAAAATAGCAAAACGCTTTCCAATTGAATTTTTATTTGATTTTATTTCATCTTCTGAAACCGAAGGACTTAATTGATAAGCATACATGTATCCATCAGACCCTAAAACATTTATTAAAAGAATTTAATTTGATGCATCACGTTCAAAGCAATTAATAAAGTACACAAATACAACTAACAAAAATAATAATTCAATGTATTTGGGTTTAAGAAAGTTTAAGTTTTTCCTAAATTTTATTTTCATAAATGAACAGATGCAACAATATTATATTATTTCATATAAGATGAACTATCATATATGGACAATAGAGCGTTGAATTTTTTTCTTCTAAAAGTGGCGGTAGTCAAGAAATGTATGGGAAACTATTCTAAATCAAGTTATATAAAAGAAAAACCGCTCCTTTGGGCATTGGCATAGCTTTGGGCTATGACCTGTATGGATAAATAGACACGTATATAAGAAAAGTGTTTTTGAAATTAAAAAAGCATTCAGAATTTTAGTATCCTAATATTATGAAGGTACCTTATCATTTATATCGCCAAAGACAGTTTTAGATAAGTAATAGAAGTACTTAAGACATTTTTAAGAAGTAAATATCTACCTAAGACACTGTAACCCAAATAAAATAATTTAAATATTGTAAAGTAAACTTACACAGAGTCAGTAGTTTAATGCATCCCTCTACTGCTAAATGACACATGACATGCCCAGCAATTTCCACACTTTTTCGTACATTTAAATTCTCTCTACCTTTAAAATGGAAATTACCATCAATAAATAAACTCCATTCAAATATATGCTTTTCTTCATTAGAGATTATTCCAATATAAATCTCATCCTTTCTGTTACAATAAAGAACATCTACTATTTCAACTTCCTTTGTTTCTTCTGCTTTTTCCTTACGAGTTTCTAAAGCTTTGCTTAGTTCAGACACTGATAAATCCTTGAAGATTACAAAAGTCTGCTTTGCACATTGTATTAAAGAGTGTATTTGTTTGGTGAACTAAAATTCAGTAAATAAAATAAATTAAGCATTATAATAACAATTATCAAACAAGTACATACTTTGTATTTTTTCAATTTGTCAATGTTTTCTTCACCATCATTCCAAATTCTTATATACAAATTGTTGAATACAGCTGCATATTTTGAAGAACTGAAATCATAAATGACTGCAGAACTAAACTTGTCTTTTGTTCTCCAACTGTGTATCTGCTTTTGATCTGCAATCTGATTCGATTTTTAGTAAATTTAATAGCAGATGTTAGGAAAACTTACTCTGTACTTGATGCATATGTTTTTTCCTAATGTGACAATAACATGACCTGCTTCTGAATCTTCCGTAATTCCTAACAAACTCTTGTGATCAATTAAAGGGCATAATCCGTAATAATTTCCTAATTTTGCCATTATAAATGTTATATATGTATCACAAAAAGTTAAGTATTTTTGAGGTTGAAGTCATGCCAAAACCAAAGCGAGGTTATGTTTACAACAGCCAACATAACTGTAACATAACCATGATAATAAACTTGATAACCTTAAAACATAGATGACAAACAAAATAAAAAGAAAATGCCTTTAGATGTGGTTGGATTCTCATATTCGTTATTTATTATTGTAGGAGGTTTATACGGATTTCTTGCAGCTGGTAAATTAATTTTTCCTCGAGTAACAGTAATAAATTTCAAATTTTGTTGTATTAGGATCTCTTCCTTCACTACTAGCTGGCCTTTTATTTGGTATAATATCAGGATTTGGAGCATGGAGAGTAAGTAAAGACCCATCGAAATACTTAATTCAACTTTTAGCAGCATTCATTTTGGCTTGTGTTATGGGTGTCCGATACTACCAATCTGGAAAAACCTTACCAGGCATTGTGTGTATTGTGTCAACATTTGTAGTTGTGTGGGTCATATTCAGAAAACTTACTTTTAATACCAGAGAAAAAATAAAGTGTATGAAAAATTCACTTTTGAATTAAAACATCTCTTTTTTGATAATTACCTGGTTTTTGTCCATGTCTACTTACACAGTAGATGTAAGAAATGCAATTTTATCAAATTAAAATGCAAAAGAATAACTAATGTACCTTTTTCTAATCAATTAATTCAATTTGAATGAATATAAAATCTGGACAGACTAATTCTTAAAATTACTTTTCCTCCCATTAAGAATGGTAATACAAATTAGGTCATCTTTAGAATAATGTGTATCAAATTAATATTTTACTTTGTATTGTATTTACTTTTTATTCTGCATTGGCACATTACCACACTTGCCACCCTGAGCAAACTTTACAAAATATATACACATGTAATGCCGTTATGTACTAACATTAGGAATATACATATAATATATTTAAAGAAAATCACATACATTTAGTAACGGGTTTATAGGTATGGTAAATAAAGACTATACATATTTTGGAAGGAGGGATAACAGAGTGTTTTACTAAGGCACTAAGTCCTACAGTGATTGTGATTGAACTTTGGGTTAAAATATGTAGTATATTTTACAGCTTACACTATTTTATTGTTTTTTTATTAATTCATAATGCTTTTCTCTAGCAATAGCAGCTATTATTTTATTGTTTGACAATGAGTTGAAATACTGTCGCCAAGTTTTTGGGTAATTAATTACTTAAGAACATCGTTATCAAACATGCAAAAATAATACAGATATTACTGTGATAGAAAAATATATAAAACTCGAAATATTCCACTCGACAATAAAAAAATACTGACATCAATCTTATTTCTTTTTCTAAACTAACACAATATAGTGATTGAACACAGCAGCAGTAGTAAAATTAACGAGTGACGTAAGATTTAAGCAGAGAAAACCATTTTAAATTGAACTGCGTAATTATAGAATTATAATTACAGCATGGAGAAATTTACAACCTTTAATCCTAATTTTAAGCTTCATTAAAATCAAAATAAGGACCTCCTAAAAGATAAATTAAACAAAATCTAAACCAGTATCAAAATCTAAAATTTAAAAAAATATAAAAAAAAGGCTTAATAAGTCCATAATATCTTTGGTAGGAAGGAATAAAACCTTTTCGTTTTCTATAAATAGGGTAGGGGAAATAAATTTTGCCGTAACTTTTGGAAAAGGAAAACTTAAACAATGAAGAGTAAGAACTTGCTGGAAAATGGAAAAATACAGAAAGGTTTGAAAACAGGGATACCAGGAAGAAAACGGCATTTCTA